CTTTAAGAGGGGTTTCCATATCCTGTGTAACAAAGTGTGCAGAATGTTCATTACCTTAAACCAATCTCCACTTCTAGGACTTCTTTAAAGTGTGTTCTTGACAATAATGCACCAGTCAATTGAAACCCCCGATCCCCGGGGCTAGCGGGGAACTGAACGGGGACGTAACGCAATTTTAACGTGCTTTTAACTGCAAGATTGCCCCGGGTGGTCGGGATTTGATGAAYTGTTTTCGAAGCGGGGTAAAGGGCGGGGATTTTAACGCGCGTTAGATGCCGGCCATCTTGAGAATTACCGTGAAGGCATTGGTATTCAACCCACCTTTTTACTTGTTTATTTTTCCTTGCATGAAAAAGTTTTTCTCCTACGCAAATGAGTACACAGGATTATACAAAAATTAACCCTGTGTATCACAGAAAATTTGATTAAATGGTTTTTGTTTTGTTATTTACTACGAGACCAATATAGCGGGGCAACAGTAGCGGGGATTTTGACAATGAATGTGCCCCGACTACCGGGGGAAATGTCTTATGTTAAAACCATTCAAACGTTAAATTCCCCGGTATTCCCCGGGGGTCGGGGGTTTCAATTGACTAGTGCATTAACCGGTTTGCGAATTTGTATAAAGCTCAGTCRTTGTTGAAAAGACACGGCGGAGCGAGATTCGCAAATCGGCTATTGGCAAATAACAGATTGGTGTGGTKGATKSAACATCACGAATTTAGTGGGCATACCCATTCACTATTTATTTTTACTTTTATATAAATCGAAATTACGACAAATGTTGCTCTTTTTTTCTTTTGCAGTAGCAGCAGTCGTTTTACCAGTAGTAGCAACAAGAGTGACGTGACTTTGTCAAATGACCAGCTGGAAGAATTTAAAACAGTGAGTACAGTCTGCAGTTCTAAATCTGTTGAACAATACCAGAGGAGGCCGGACACTCCTCCGAAAAGGATTATGGTACAGAAACCAGCCAATCACGAGTCCGCTTTCAACTTTGTGCGGCATGAGATTTCATAATCCTTTTCGGAGGGGTGGCCAACCTCCTCTGAACAATACTAAAGAACCTTTTGTTATGTGCTAGTATCATAATGGGAAAAATAATTATGATAATAGATCTGGGTGATTTGAGAAAATGCGACTAGCCAATCAGCGCAAAGCTGACAAGCTTATGTTGTAAACATAACCCTCCGACGGGAGGAATTTGCACAGCAAAACTCGACCCAGTGGAGTAGGCTGCCTGTCATTTTATTCCATCCGAATAATCAAAGCTAAAACGCAAAGAGAAATTGAAATCTTTATAAAATAGCTTTTAAATGTCAATCAAATATTTATCGTTATAGAAATAGAATTTTATCTTAAAAATGAAATAACAAATAATTTTTCTTTAATGCCAAGAGACTCCCCTCCCTGATAAAAATAATTGGTCTGTGTTCTACGCGGGTTCTCCATTGCATGCGAAGCAATGACCGACTTCACGAAGACTTCAGAAGGTCGTTGAGGCGACGTTCAAGTCCAAAGTATCTTAGGAGGAACCATTGCAAATCCTTTTTCTTAGCTCTTGTTTCATCTAAGCTTTGAGGTATCTACAACATCACTGGAAGAGCTAGAGCAGCTTAGGTCCACGTATTCCAATAGAGTTTAAGCGTTTGTTATTTTTGGTACAAACAACTGTCGTAGTGCATCCTTTGTCGCATTTTCGGCAATAAGCCACAAGCATGCTCGACGATACAACAGGTTGACGTTATGTAACAGGTCGCCGGTTACACATTTACTAGCTTTGACCTTAGAATGAGAGCTAGAAGGTGACTGGGATTTTTCGTGTAATGTCTTGATAGCGACTGTTTATGTCGAAACGACTCAAAACAAAATTCCATCGTGAAAAACGTTCGACTAAATTCCCATCTGAAAAACACGTGTGTATTTAAGGTGGAAAATGTTTCATATGAGCATTCAATTCTTAAAGGTTTAATTCTATAATCATTTTGTTTAGTTATGTAAATAAATTTAACACGACTTGTACTGTTTATCTGAGTGAAAGGCGAGCTGCGGGTTTTCCCTTTCCTTTATTTACATTTTCAAATATGACCGCTTAACAAAAACGCACGGGCTCACTGGCTTACAACYTTGGCGAATTCATATGCAGGCCTGGTCGCAAATCAATCACCCAGATATGTTGTACGATACAAATTGTATTTATTTCACCACATTTATATTAACCTGCGTTTAGTCAGTTTAAACTACTTGGCTTATTACTGCAGGCAAGCTAAGTTGTGTRTTTAAAACTTCATTTTTATTTTTGTATTCATGCTGTCTTCTAACTATAAGTTTATTGTTCAATTCAGGAGCTTTTGTCAGCATTTCGACAAGAATTGGAAAATTATAAAGAAGAGATTATTCAAGGTATATTTATTTAGCAGACATTCCATAACTTAACACAATACCGAAGTCTCATAGTTGTGCAACACTTTGTTCAAATGAGGGAAAGGAAAGCGGGTCTTCTCAATGAAGGAACGTGTACCTTAATCACATAACTTTAATTTGTCCTTTTTTTCAGCTGTTAGACAAGAAATGTCCAAGAATATGTGAGCTGTCTTCTCTTTAATATGAAAAAACGAAAACAAAACAGACATTGAATAGAATAAGAATAGTGCAGGTGTACTAATTAGTGACTTGTGCAATTTATKACCCTTTTTAATAAGTAAACCAAATTACCCTGCAACCGTCATCATCTACATGTAAARTGTTTACTGCGTAGACCTTTGAACCTTTTGCGTCGCTACTTGATTCTCAGTGCATTGTGGGATCAGTTTCTAAAGAAAACAAAAGAAATCGGCCATGTTCTGTCTCAAACATATCCTATAATGCATTGCGTATACGGTACATGACGTAAAGCTTCAGAGGTCTATTATCTCTAAGGTTTTATAGAAAAATTTCGGGGTAATTGTGACGGTCAATTCCAATCATGGTGTTATGTAAGCTATATTTCTAGATTTTGMAGAATATCGTACTGGCATGGAAAATGGAAGGTAATATTTGTGAAAAAAACAAGTCKGATAGGGCTAGAGTTTCAGTTAATTTGACTGATTAGTCTGACATTTGTTTTAGTAATCCGTGTATTTTTAATGTTTGGACTTCATTTATCAAATTAATGTACTTTCATGGGTTAGATTGTGACGACTAACTGATAAATGGGCCATTCTCGTACCCAGATCCTTCTCACTTTCCCAACGGAAAATCGAAGGAGCCTTAGAAGGATTTGGGTTCGAGAATGGAAAATGGGCTTGAGCTAGGGATTTGTTTCTGGTCATTAACAGGGCAGTGACRTCTGAAGTCATTCAAAATTGGGGTTTTCTCTGGAAAACGACGGATGAAATAGGACATTTTTACACTATATCCCCTCGTTTTCAAGTTAAGAAAATACTAGACTTAGGTGAACGAACCCTATTCTAAGGTTTCTGATTGGTTGATACAGGGAACAATTAATTTGTGACTCTTCTAAGTTGAAGAATGCTTTGAGCAAAACCATGCCAATACGTCGGCTATTGTAATCTAACTACTTGTGCCTTTCTACAGTTGATATTACAGGAGTATACTCTGTAATTGTTAATAGTATGATAATATAATAACTCAATTACAAGTTCTTTCCTGGGTTTTGGAAATCTGTAACCAAGACATTTTAAAGTTGTAAATTATAAGAAGTTTCTAAGAAAATACAGTGAAAGGGTCGACCCATGATTCCTGGATAATATCAGTACTAAGGTATTTTATGTCCTCAAAAGAGTGTTGCACTGCGTAAAAATGCACACTAGGTATTGTATGTTAACACATTTTCGGATAGTCCAAGTTTGCTTGTTGTAAATCCTAAACAGTAATCGTGCAACTTTGCAGTTACCCTCTTTCAGTATTGAAACCGCAAAAGAGAGCTGGAGGAAGCCCCCTCTCATGACACTCCGACATAAGCCCCCGTTGATGTTGAACAGAATCAATTGACTAAAAATTACTCAGCAATTTCAGAAAACGTCGAATACTAGTGGGAAGTGCATTCCAAGATCACAATGCATTGACATTAATTAAACTCCGCGTTACCTGCGATACGAAATAACAATTCTAAACTTAATGATTTCTGTTGAAGTTATTCGCTGTATTGGGCTTGCATAGTCACTCTGAAGTCCAGTCCTGGCCTCCTTTCAACCCTCTCCAGGACTCGCGACCTCAGCCTACCGGAGAGGACAGAAAGGGAGTCCGGGACTGAACTAAGTCACTCTGAAGCACGAAAACACCTTTTTGCATATGCCTTTTCTGTGATASMAGTTTGCATTGCGTTGTGATCTAGATTCGGTACAAACATTGTATTTCAGAAAAGGTCTATGACAGTTAAAGAACCAACAATGCATTTCGGTCTCRGAATACACTACTATCTAGTGTACTCAACGTCCAGTCCAGTCTCATGGGTTAATGCCTTTCACAGGGATCCACAAARTGTCAATGAATTAGTTATTTGATCTTTGCTTTATTGTAAATCGCTGCTATATTACTGATATACTGCTATTATGTATGTTGTTAGTAGTAAARATGATTTTTGTAGCCACCATGTGATATATGAGGGATTCTTGCAACAGGATAAGTAATTCCGATCAAAAACTAAACATAAGATTGACTTTGTAACTTAAATAATTTTAGACAAATAACGTCATTTATAAAAATGCTTTAAATCGTTGTTGTGGCCTAAAGCAGAACATTTTGAGGAATTAAAGGGTTGGGAGGTACCTTAACAGGGAAYGGGCAACCATAATAATCTGCTTTACAAATAGAATACTTTTTTTATCCGTGAAGTGGTCTAATTTGCGAACAAAATTAGGCAACTAAGTGTGAAATCCTTAGTCTTCTATTGTTTAATTAGTGCAATTTCATACAAAATATTTCACGGATATAATGAATGCACACCACCAGCGTTATCTTGATAGTCGTCCCCAGGGACAGATTGAGCTGGTGGGTGCAGGGGATGTGAACCCTGCTCCGTATAGTCTTGCATCTTCCCAAAATTGTACAGCMTGCCAGCTTCAAAAATTGGTGAATTTAGGCTATTTTCTCAGTAAGTGCTGTTTATTGTGCTGTTTGTAAAGAAATATAGAGGGAAAAAAAGAAAGAAAGAAAAGAAAAAATGAAATATATAAAAGAGAGCGAGAGATGGGAGTTTTTGAAAGGAACGGCGTTTTAAAAAAAGTGCAAAGTGCAGTACTCAGTACTACTTTCCGGTTCTCCGGCAATGGAGCGTGTTATTAGACGGCACCTCGAGACTTATTGAAAGGGTGTATAAGCAACGACCATTTTCGCCAAAGGTCTTATTGTCACTTCGTCCAATCCCACAGTGAAAAGACACGCACATCACAAGGGAAAATGAGCATTAAACATCGATATCCGCGTCTTAGCATTTTAAAACATTTATTAGACACAAAGTAGGAAAACTATAATTCAATAACGTGGTAAAATTGTTMTTTTCAAAGTTTATGAGAGCATTCCCTAGATGACGACTGGTTTTTCACTCAAAGCCACCAGGGTGAATCCTATGTTATGTCTTCTGTGCTTGTATCGCCTCAACCTGGAAAACAAGTCAAGCATTATTATAC